TATAATAACTAGTTATTCATCCCTTTACATAATATTTATCTCACATTGGAATATTTACACTTTAAATATATATTGTGTTGTTTTTGTTGATTGCCATCGAGTTGAGCATGACTCATTAACGACCCTAGGATATAAAGGCCTGAAACCTTTCTATAACTATCATCATTTTTCAAATTTCATAGAGTTTCCAGAGTCATGTCTTTAGGAAGCAGATGCCACTCCTGCTTCCAATTTCTAATTATAAACACACACACACACACACACACACACACAATTTTATTATTGAAGGGTTTCTTCTTTTTGTTTTTATTAATATTTTATATTGATTTGTACATACATAGGGTTTTCAGAGGCCTGCTATTTCAGAAGTAGATGGCCAATCATTCTCCCTAGTCTGTCTTTATGTGAATGTTCAGATTTAGAGAAGTATTAGGCAGACCAGCAAGTTAAAGGTATATCCCTTATTGTGGAGTTAACTTTAATGTCAGTGTTGTCCCTGCCTTTCTCACAAGCGTCTTTACCCACTTATTTCCCTGCTACACCATCCACCAGGATACCCATCCACTTCTACCCGCTCCCTTCACATCTCTCTCCCTTTGACCAGCTCTCCATCTAATAACTTATATATGAAGCTTCCTTGGCTTCTGTGATTCGAAACACATCAACTGCTGGTAGTTCCTTATGTTCGGAATAAAGTCTCTGAAGTTTAGTCATAATGTTTCCAGAGCAAAGGTGATGCGTCCTGTAGAACTGGTGTGTAGATAGGCTCGGGCCAGAACAAACGTCGTGAGGTTTTTGGCATCTTCTGATTACCTGGGAAGATGGGCAGGGACTGTGACGGGCCTTTAAGCTGCCCAGCTTTCAGCTGGTCAGACTACTATTAACATATTTCAGCTAACAGATGGTGCCTGGATGTGCTCACCAAGTTGTGCCAAGAAATCTGGAGAACAACCACTTGGCCAACTGACTGGAAGAGATCTGTATTTGTTCCTATCCCAAAGAAAGGTGACCCAACAGAATGTAGAAACTACAGAAAAATCTCACAGATTTCACATGGAAGCAAGATTTTACTGAAGAT